TGAGGTTAGTATCTCTGAGACAGCTTTTTCGGGGTGGAGGCCCATGTCTCCGGTACAAATACAATAGGAGTTGCTTTATTGACAAGTACTATTCAAAATCTTCACAGTATAGAAAGAAAGGCTTTAGTTTTCCACCACTTGTCCAAATACTTATTCCTCTCTTACTATTAAAACACTTTCAGAAAGAACACTCAACTGCCTAGAGCCCTGTACATCCAGGCAGAGCACAACTCGGCAAAAAACACTTTGCTTAAATTCAAGTTGCATTTATTTCTGCAAAAATTTCCCTAGGCAAAACCCAACAAATGGACAACAGGAATTAATAGATTATCTTGGCAGCTTCTGCATCCATGACTTTACAAGAAACATGCTCATACAATAACAGTTGCCACCCAAAGTGTGAGTCTGACTGCAAACAAATGAGAGAAGGCAGAGTTATGTAGAGATTACACGGCCAATACATAATCTATCCAAGAGAAACAAAAAATGAGTAAATGTTCTTATGTTTTTATTAATCTTCTTTATGTATATGCTATCTCTAAAATACTTTTCCTTACTGTAGCAAGGGAATAAAGCCCAAATTCTAAATACAAGCCATGCTCAGCCTGAACCATATCACATAGGTGCCAGTACGTGTACAAAAACTTTCTTGTGCATCCAGAAGAAAGCAATGCAGCAAAACCATTTCTATAAATATGTTTGTCACATGAATTTTGAGGATTCTTTATTTTTTTCAGATGTTAGATGCATTTTCTCCCAGGTCAATGCTTGGCTTTGCTGCACATGAGAACGTTCAGAAGCTGTGGGTGCCCTGTGTTTGGGCAGGGGACCCTCGGACATTCGTAAGCTTTGGCTCAGCCACGCTCACAGCCAGGAAGCCACGGGAAGGGGCTGCAGAGAGGGCAGCTGGGGATGTGACCACACACCTGAATATTGGTTGGAATACAGACATGGAATTTTTTTTTTTTCCCCCAGAATTTACAGAGTAAAACCCTTCTTCTTACAATACTGAATATCTCTATATGTAAAGAAATACAGCCATTAAAAGTGGCTTTCCCAGCTAGCTGACATAAGTTGCTGTCCTGGAAGTAGCTTAGAAGGGGGATGAAATTTAGTACAATTTATTGCTGTAGCAATCAGATTGCGGAAAAAAAAAAAAAGAAATCCCTCCCAGAGCAACACTGACCTCAATAGAAGTTATGCCAGGGCTGAGATTAGATTGTGAGGTTGAATCTCACCTTCTGTCGTATGGGCTGTAAAGTCTTCCTCCTGCGATTGCAGGTTATTTTATTTTCTACCTTCAGAAACTGCCACTAATTTCTATTTATTTTTTTTTTTTGTGGAAGAGAAGAAAAACCCTTGCTGTGTGCCTGAGCCTCTGCACTGCTACCCCAATGGGAGGAAGAAACAGCAGAGTTTGGAGCACAAGTTTCAAGCACAACTTCTGCCACCGCCTTCCACTGCCACCAGCTTTTTTTTTTTTTTCAAGCTTGTGGGACGTTGTGTTTTCCTGAAAAAAATATTTGCATCCCAGGGGATGAGACTGACTTTTAATAGCAAAATGTGCTTTTGTACAAGCCCGTCTTTACTGTAAAATAGGTTACGCTGCCCTACAAACAGGGTTGGGAGAGAAAGACTGCAGTCTTTTTAATATTTTTGGTCCTTTTTTTGGCATTTTTTTGCTTTTCCCAGACCTTTTTTTGTCTTTTTTAGGCACTTTTTTGCTTTTCCCAGCTTTCATAAAAAGTGGTCTCCCCATCCAGAATGTAACTGGGGGAGGGAGGGTTTTCATAATGGGCCCTGGTGCAAGAAGAAGACGAAGGGGGAGAGAGAGAAAAAAAAAACCCTCTAAGCTTTAATTTTAATTCTCCTGCCTTTATTTATCTGATTTGTGGCCAGATGGTGGTGAAGCAAGGCAACCCCTTTGTGCAAATGAAGCCCACATGTGAAAGTCCTTCTGTAATGTAATCATTGAGACCGGAAGGGTTCATACTGTGTCTGAAAAGAGACAATGGAGCCGGGATATATCAACATCGCTGAAATCGAGTTCATTTGCGATGCAGGCCCTTTGACTATGGTTGTCATGAAAACTTCCTACTTTGATCAGCAGAGGGTGGAGAGAAAAAGAAGAAGAAGAGAAAAAAAAAAAAGAAGTCTTCTAAAGGGGCAGGGATGCGGCGCGGGTGTTTGCTGTGCACTTGGCTCCGGTTCACGCCCCTTTCCGGAAGACGCAACAGGGAGAGGAGCATCTTGCACCTTGACCTGTCTAGACGGGGCGCGAAGTTTGGGGTTTGTTTTTTTTTTAGTCCCTGTTTCCAAGGGCGAGGGTTGCTCTTTGACCCCCACCGCCAATGGTGGTGGCTCTTGGGGCGTAGGTAGCGGCCGGAGGTTTCCTGCCGAATTCTTGCTGCGGCAGGGAGGGAAGGGGATGGACAAAGACACGGACCAGCTGTTCGGAAATAAAGCTGAAATAGTAGAACCTGGGAGAAGCTAGGTTTTGTAAGCTATTATTTTCCATGCAAAACCCCTGGGAGGTATTAAACAGCTGCATCTGAGCTGGCGAGCAGCGGCTAAAAGACAGAGCAACTACTGAGAGCCCGGGACTTTTGCAAACTCCGCTTCAACTAAAGAAACAAGTGGCTGGAGCGCCAAGGGCTTTCATGGCCCGAAACATCCGCCGCAGCCGGCCGTCTCCCTTCGCCGCGGTCTCTTCGGGCTGCTGGGAGGTTTCCAACTGGGCGGCTGGCTTCTGGAGGAGGGCGAGGGGTGCGAGGGGCGCGTTGGGCGTGAGCTAGAAGGGTCTGCGCAGGTTCCTCAGGGCCACCTGAGCTGGAGCTGACGTTTTTAATTACGTGTGTAATGTAATGTGTAAACCATTCTACATAGCGAGAGGGATGCTTTTTTTCTCTTTTCGTGATCTATCTAGGTGTTATCTGTATGAAGCGGATTTTTTTGGTGATATAATAAGCAAAAAAAAAATCATTTTTTGCGTCCAGGTTCCTTTAGCAAAATCAGAGAGCAACTTAATGGAGTTGTCAGGACAAAACAAGGATATGGGAGAGATTTTCTTCTTAGATAAGCAGAGAAAAATCTATGCATATTTAAAAAAACCCTGAGGTTTAATCTGATGCTTATAAACCTTTGAAATTTGCAGTAAGCCAACATAATGAATGAGTAACCTTTTATTTTCCAGTGAAAGTTGTGTCAGGGTGCCCACCCTTTCTCATCACTAGCAAATTCAAGAAGATCGTGCCTTGTTTATGATTCTTATTATAGAATTGTAGAATTCTTGCCATATTTTAGCATACTTCGTACTGGCTCCTCGCAGAAACTAGCTGAATATTTGGAGATAACACTGCATTTTGTCAGATGCTTTATAACATTATTTAGAATCTTATTCAGATCTATTTAGGGCTTCATAAATATGAATAAAGCATTTACAAAAGGCACGTCACTTGCAGAAGTAACCCACGGATTACACCAGATGCTTTATACGTTACGAATTTCCTAAACTCAAACAGTTCAAAACTAGATTTTGCTTGGGGAATTTTTTGCTAAGTAATTAAATATAAATTAGTATTTCGCAGAAAAATTTCTGTTGATTTATGAGCAGGAAATAAGGGAATTGTACAAGTGGCTAAAAATCCAGATCTCTACTAAAGTAGTTTCAAATATTTATGGACAAATTAGGAGAGGAGGGGAGGGATGTAATCTTTTTTTTCTTAGTTCTCATGGTGTAGGGGTGGATTTTTCTCAACTAATTCTGCTAAAACCACTGAGCAGCTCTGCCTGCCTTCATACCAGCACCTTCTTCAGATATATGTATTTATTATTTACAATGCATTTGGAGTGTTTTGGGAGGTTTTTTTAGTTCTGGTGGAAAATATGCAAAAAAAACCCCAAAGACCTTAAAAAAGGCAGTGGGGTTCTGCTGGCCGTGGCCTTTGGAGCAATTGGGCGTTGAAAACGGCAGGCGAGTGAGCCAGCGAGCGGGCTCGGAGGCCTAGAGAGGAGAGGAGAGGAGAGGAGAG